AATTGTTATTTAATTTGGAACTGCCAAGTATTAAAATTTTGCAGAGAAAGGCCTCCTTTATTAACACTGAAAGCAAATCTACACTGTAAATGTCTCATCCTTGTAAACTCCAATTTAATTTGAAAGCAGGATTCCCTATGGCAGAAATTTGTATCCTTTTAGAGATTACAATTCATCTTGTTCTTAAGTATTGAACAAATAGGATAAAAGGGGATAGAATAAGGAAACTCAAGCAAATCATGAACAGAATGCCTTACATTTGTTGGTGCTATGTGGCCAGCAGAATAGCTGCCATATTTACAATGAGTAGGCAAACAAAAAATTTATCCATATGATTTCTGAAGATAAATGAGACTTGAAAAGAAACGGCCTGGTCAGAGCACACAGTGGGATTCTTTATTTAAAGACTGTGTACTCAAAAGACACCAAATCCAACTTTAAAAAGTAAAATGATAATTTCTCCAAAAGCTGAACATGGAATTATACAGATCGACAGCATTCTTTCCAGCTCTGAAACAACTAATGCCAAAGACTCATTCAGCTGCTACTTTCTGTGAGTTATCACAGAGTCCTGCTTAACCTCTCCTATGTTGGCTCTCAAGTAAAAACTTTCTGCTGTCCGCTTGCCCAAAAATGTATTGAAAAAAATCCAGCAAAGAAGGAATAAAAAACCCAAACTCCAAAACCAACCATTTGAAGTATTTAAGATTGGAAAACAATGGCTTATAATAATGGAAGTAGCTTAATTTATCCAGCAATAAGTTTAATAAGCAACTTGATTGATGGTCAGAAAGTACCTGTAAGGGTCATTGATTACTTGTACTTCACACAAAAACACATGGCAAAATAGATGGCTGATACTAGAATACAGACTAAAAATAAGCTTCAATTTTTGACTATAATATTTAGTTACTTAAAACAATATAGACAACAATTTTGTTAGGTTCTTAGACACTCTTAAGTCTTTGAAAGACATGCTGCAGCTAAGAAATTACTGTCTTATTGCAGATATGAGAGAGCAACATCCTGTGTGTCAATATGTGTGTGACATCAGACTGTTGTTAAATCAAAAATGTATACCCACAGACATACAGAAAGGAAGAAAATACTTCCAAACTATTAGATATCAGATAAACATTGGATAGAAGATTAAGACTGAGTACAAAACATAATAATTGTCTGGACAAAGAGATAAAACAGTTTAGGAAAACTCAATTTACTCATAATTTTTAGTTTTCAAAATTTACATTTTAACAAAGGCTTTTTGTTAAGTCTTACCTGAGCAAGCCTAGAGCATTCCTCAGTTACAGCTTCATTCAGCTTTTCTATAAGTCTTTGTGTAGATTTGACTTCATCATCTATGAATAAAAATTATTCATATTATTTTAAAACACCAGATGCATAACAACTTTTCAAAGGTGTAATCTCATGCCTCAGTGAGGTTGTCTCTTCAGTGCCTAAAAAAGCATAGTTTTTTCTTCCCCTCTTGTTTCATCACACAGAGAGATTCAGTTATTATGGTAGAACTGCACGTTTAAGAGGAGTAAGCAGTAAGAAATGGATTTGTGTGTTAGTGACCTCTAGAAATATCAGATTTTACAGAAACATACTAGAGGGCAAATAACTTACGCCAAAAAATTACACAAGTGCAAATCATGGAGTGACAGAAAAAGTAGGGATGGAAAACCATCATGATAACATAAAAGCTCACTAAGGCAAAAAGTAGTAGTAAATTAGCTTACTTAATGGGCAGGGAGTCAATGCAGGAATCCAAAGAACAGAGAATGAAACAAGCTCAAAAATATTTTGTTTATGGTTTTGCTTATTATTTTAGAGAGGAGTACAACCTTATAGGTGAATCTATTATATATTTCTTTACAATTAACTTACCTAATACAAACAGCAAAACATGAATTGTAGTATTTCCTATTCCTGAGTAATAGATGACTTGTAATGGGTAAACAACTTGAAAAAAGAAACAATTTAAAAATGTTCTGTAAAAACAATGTATTGGACAGCTACATACACAAACTCTTCTGCTTGTTTTCTTTTAAAGACACCGTTTTTCATATTAAGAGCTTGATTCCCATAGTTTTGGTCAAGTTACCTGCTTGTTGAATTTTCAAGGTCTGGAGCTCCAGCTGATGCATTTTTTTAAGATCGTTCATCTCTTGTAGATGACTGCGTACAAGCTCCTCTTTAAGACTGCAAAGTGCACTCTCTTTTTCTGCTTTCAGGTACTCACGAACCTGATCTACATGAGTTGAATAAACCAAGGACAGGCAAATGCGCTGTGCTTCCATCTGTAGCTGCAAATCAGTCTGAATAAAAATACACATTTTACAAACAGTGAGAAACAAGAAAACAAAAAACTCCTGCCTTTGCAAATTTCTCAAATTAATATTGTGTTGAATGGAACGTTGCATATTAGGTTAATCTGGCATACGTTACGTTAATTTAGGCTAATCTGAAAAATTGAATTGTAATAAAATACCATGACACTTCTTCAACTTAAAATAAAAATCAAACTAAAAATCAACAAAACTCAATATGCTTAAATTCCTACTTCAGAGCAATAAAAACTCAATTAATTTTACTCCGATGAATTGAGAGTAATATCACTACCAACACATTAAATTTAGAAAGTTCACTCCAAGTACAGAAAAAAGACAGACGTTAAAAATAATTGATTTCCAAGGCTTGTAGTTTCAGTCTGCACTTTTGGGAAAGCTATTGCTAAAGAAAAACCTTGTTTAGGATATCCCAATACTGAGCAATTTAGAGTCCAAGTTTGAAAAGGATTTTAGACACCTCTAGACCACAATGATCTTTTAGCCATATTGCATCCTCATTTAAAATAAATAAAATAAAAAATTAGATTATATAGCTCTAGCTCTATTTATAATCTCACAATTGTTTCCAATGTGCTTGTCATTTTATTTCTTAGGAAATGAATGAACTATAACACAACACAAAATGAGGCAGTGGTGGTATTAGTTCATTGTTAGGTGGATTTTCAGAACATGAAAACAACAAACCGATCTAAAAAAATTGGTGGAAAACTGGTTAGCATCTATTTCTACAAAAACCTCATATACATACTTCCTGCAGCATACTATTCAACTTCATCATTGTATATAAAGCCAGACTTACAATTCCAGCACCTAATTAAATACTGGTAATTGAATACTTGGTGATTTTTATTGGCAAATAATAATCCTTTCCATACTACCCGCACCTCATTTACAACACCAAAAATACAAGAAAAAATTATCCAGTAGAATACAGAGATTGGTTAAGGGAAGAGTATTTCTTTCACTGAAAAACAGCATCCTCACGAATACTGACTATGGTTATCATCCTGGTGGATAAATACAATTTCCTGGTGGATCCTGAATCTTCAGGTCCACTTTCAGCCATTGGCCACAATTCTGCACACATGACCATGCACCTGTACTTCAAGGCAGCCAATAGGAAAAATATGACGCAAATTTCCAAGTGCAAGCTCCTACAGATTTTCATAGGTAAATTATTTTCTATACTGCTTTATGTAACGTACCTGTTCTGATTTCAGGGCATCCACTTGCTGCTGCAGATGATTTTCACCCAGTGTAATGGCTGTTAATGATGTTTCATCTGTCTGCCTGTCTGTCATCCCATGCAAATGTTCTACAAAGGACTGCTGTTCTGGTTTCAACATTTGCTGAGCTTCCTTTTGTTTTGTTGTCTCATGACCGATATCTTTACTCAAACCCAGATTTCCTCTTACATTAGTTCCTTCATCAGCTTTACTCCTTGGACTGTGGGTTTTATTTCTACTTTCAGATGCTGGAGCGGCAGTCTTTAGAGATTTTCCTTTAGAGTATTTTGTCTTGGGGTTATTACTACTACTGTTTCCTTTCTGAGCATGGTTAATTATGACTTCTAGCTCTTTACATTTTGCTAGAACTTGTTCTTTCTCATCTTTTAAGCATTTAACTTTTTCATTTAAATGACAAATTTCACTATGCTTTGACTTCAACTGTTCAGAGAGATCAGAAAGTCTCAGGGATAATTCCAGTTTCTCACGCTGGGTAACCTCAAGCTTTTCCGCAAGTTCTGTCGTATCTTTCTCAACAACTTCTCCAGCCTCAAACATGTCTGCCCTGGATGGCTTGATTTCTTCACTGCCTTCAAAACCATAATTTTTAGTTTTAAATAAAACTGGTCTACTGCTTTGTAAGTGCTGAAGTTTTTCATTCAAAGCTTTGAGTTTGCTTTTATATTCAGCTTCCTGCCTATTTTTGTTCTCTTCTAACTCAGTTTTTGCCTTCAGAAGAGTTGCACGTTCCTTCTGCAGCTCTTCATAATTAGCTTCAAGTTTTTTCTCAGTAAAGGAAAAGGCACTCTTCTGCCTTTCAGCATCCTCTTGGAGTTGACCATTTTGGTTTTTAAGTTGCTCATTTTCAGTAATCAGCTTTTCTATTCTTTTTTGCAATTCCAAAATTTCTGACTTAGAGCTAACACTATTGCTAAAAATGACATTTTCATCAGAGCTTAACAACATACTTTTTAATTTCTCCTCCAGAATTTTGTTTTCCCCCTTAAGAAGGTTATTTTGTGTTTCAAGTTGTGAACACTTGTTTTGAAGGCTATCTTCTCTCTCCCTCATTTGTTCCTGCATCAACTCTGTTTTAAGTTGAAGCTCCTGAATTTCTTGTTCAAGGGTACCTTTTTCTTTTTCCTCTTGCCTGAGCACTTCAATCTCCTTCTGCAGCTCATGGATTTGAAGTGACATTTCTTCAGATTTAGAATTTACAATAGACTGTTGTAAATCTTTCAGGTTTGAAATCTCTGATATCAACTGATTTTGTTTTGTGATTAAGCTGTCCTTTTCACATTGCATGGCTTCTATCTTTTGACTCATTTCATTTTGTACCTTATCTAACAGTTGTTTATGGTGCATATTCAAGTTATCTTTAAGGTTTTCCATATTCACCATGTGCTCTTTTTGTAAATCATCTTTAAGTCTGGAAAGTTCCTCTTCATGACTAAACAGAAGCTTTGTTCTCAGTCTCTCCAATTCTGCTTCTTGAGATTCTGCCATCCTGTCCAGAACTGCATCCTTCTCCCTTTCTAGCATTTCAAGTTTTATTTTGTAATTTGTAACTTCTGCCTCATGTTTTAATTCCAATTCCTTCCTAAATTCAGAGGCAGAAGCCAGCTGTGTTTTTAAATCTTCAATCACAAACTGGTGTTTTTCAGCTTCATTTAATCTACATTCCATATCCACTATAGTTTGTTTGGCTCTTTGAACCTGCTCTCTTGAAAAATTCAGTTCTTGGAAAAGATCTTCAATTTTAGTTTGTTGAAGTGACTTCTCTGCTGAGATGACTTCCATCTGTTGTGACAATTCTTGCTTTATTTTTTCCCTTTCATTATCAGCATCTTGCAATTTCACATTCAATTCATTAATTTTAATATTCATTAAATGCATTTGATCTTTATTAACATTCTCATTCAAATACAGAATTGAATTTTTTTCCAATTCTACTTTTTGTTGCAAAAGGCGCTGTTCTATTTCCATTGCATGTTGCTTAATTAATTCTTGCTTCATTTGTACAATCTGCTGGCCATGCACTTCATCTAATTCAGCCTGAAGCTGTGCCAGTCGCCTTTGTGTTTCTAATTCCATTCTTTGCACAATGTCAGCTTCAGACTGGCTGTCTTTATAACATCGTTTCTGCAATTCTTCCACAGTTCCCATTAGCTGTTTTATTTCATCAGAACATTGTCTTTCTTTCTGTTTGTAGGTGGTAAGTTCAACTCTCATATTACTTATCTCCTGGTCCTTTAGTGAAATCTGTTCTTTCAATTCTTCAAGTGATTTACTGACATCTGATAATTCTTCCTTAAGCTGAAATGATTTTTTTTCTTCTTCTTCAAGTTTTGCTTCCAGCTTTTCAATTAATGCTTCCTTTTCTTGTAGCTTACTCAAATCTTCTCCCTCATTTTTGTGTTTTTCCTTTAAAAAATGAGCAAAACCATGTTCTTATTTTTAATTATCTGAACACATAAGAACTTAGCTATGTAAATACAACACCTTTCTTCAGAGCACTAGTGATAATTTATAAAAATAAGATGTAAATTATTTGCTGATCTCATTTGGACGTTTTCTGTACCTTTGGAATAGTGATAATCCCTGTCCTCCCTCCCTCCTTATTTTTATAATAACAAAAATCTGGTGCAATCTACTGAAAAAATTGTCTCTTGTCACTTTTAATGACATTTAACTATTTTAGGTACTTATGTTTTCCATGAAGGATAATTAAAAAAATATTTCTGCAACTTTTAAAAGCATGGTACATAATACTAACATAAAAATTTCAGTTTTAAATTATATACGTATTACGTGTTAGTTAACAGAAGCAGTATTAAAAACTTGAAATCTTCGTATGAATTATATGCAGCACACTCATAATCTGTGCTTTGTCCCTTACATTTCAAAGGAACTACAAAATCCTGAAAATAAAAGACAGATTAGGAAAAAGGATCTTTCTAGTAAGGAACACACCATATCATATGTTGTGATTTTGTCCTGAAGGTGTGTAATCCGCACTTCCAATTCTTCATTCTTTTTTTGATAATTCTTCAGCAGACATTCTTGTTCTTCTAGCTGTTGCTGATGTGTAAGTATCTGTTGCTTGGCTTGCAATAAATCAGCAGCTGTGCAACTATGGCTGGTGTTCCTTAGGGCTTCACTTGCCTGCAACTTGAATGTTAAAAAAATAAAAGCTAAAATAGATCAAGTTTTTCAGAAACAGCTTGCATTACAGAAAGAATGATCTTCATTCTTCCACATCACAAGCCCAAAGCCTATTACAATATTTTATAAGTTCTTTTAGGAGGAACTGAAATATCCCTAATCTTTCAGGATGATCAACCTATTAAAAAATTAATATTTAATTGGTTTGTGGCGAGATAGCACAAGACAGCAGTGTCTAAGAAACATTTCTAAGTAGTAAAATGAACTAGTTGCAGTCACTGTCCCCAAAATCAGATTTTTAATAATAAAAACTCTGGCTTTAGAATAGAATCTTAAGCTCAAAAAAGCTATATAGAGTACTTAAATGGCAGAATTTACAATACTCAACTACAATACTCAACTGCAAGATTGTAAACTGTAGTCACACAGATTATCAGTGTGTCCATGGATCCTCAATCATCAGTGCTTTTTGGAACACATGCTTTTCTGAAACATAACTTTGTTATTTAAATTATCTTCTAATAACACCACAAGAGGCAGGTTTTACCCAAAAATATAGGAAGGACTGGGGCATGAAATGGTGGCTCACTAAAGTTGATGGCTGATTGTTTTGATTTCAAAGGGAACAAGTTGGATTTCAGCCCAAAACTCTGATAACTAATTACACGAGTGTTTTTCCCTAAGATAAATGCCATTGTCTAGTATTTATCAGAAGCTATAACCACATAAAAGGGAAGGAAACAGACTAATCTTTATTGTTTTACAGTGAATTAGTACAATAAACCAGGTGCAATAATGATAACTGTAGGACCGATAAAGTGACTGCTATTCTATAACAAGAGACAAATTCTTCAAAAATGCACAAAAAATGTACAAAAAAAATTCTGTGTTTCTGCATGAAGTAGCCATTTATGGACCCTCCAACACCAATTGACACCAATTTTCAAACCCAAGTAAGTACTGGTAGCATCGTAACTTACGTGCTGAAACTGAATTTGCAGTTTTTGACTTTGTTCAGTAAGCTCTAAGAACTCCCTCATAGTTTCATCCTTTTCTTTCCGTGCCTGCTGTAGGTTAGTAGTGAGCTGAGTGATAATGTCATCTCTTTTTTTGATAGCAGCTTCAAATTCTTGCAGCTACAAAAAATTAAGCTTTTAGTGCACATCAAAGCCACAAAAAACCCTCCACCAAAATTAACTTACTCTTGTTAAATAACTTAATGTATACATATAACAAATAACTTATTTCCTACTTGTTAAGTAGGAATCCCCAACCTCTCCATTTAAAAGATGTCACACAGACCTACCAGAGCATTTATGTACTCACAAAGCCTATCTGCAAATACTTCAGAAAGAGATATTTTACCCCTCATTTAACAATATGACCTCTCTATAAAAATCTATTTATCAAAGAACAATATCTGAACCTTCAAGAAAGTTAATTAGTTAAATATATAAAATGCTTTTAAACTAAAAAGCGTGGCGACATAAACAAACCATCATAAAGGAAGCCAGAGTATCTATTCATTGTGTTTCAGCAATTTTGTACAGCTACTCATGTCCACACACTTTTCTCACAAGAAATGCAAGTTATATCATCTCTCCCTGAAAGTGCAATAAATTGCATTTATCGTACATAGCTACTATGCAGTATCCTACATTGTGAACATTGTGAGAAAATGAGCTCAAGCTGCAAAAGTGATACAGTGGATTTACTAGATGAATCTTTTGCAATTTGTAATGATGAAGAAATGATAAAAGTACAGAAAGAAGTCCTTTGCAAGTGTTTTATTTTTTCTAGGATTACACTCAGGCAGCCATAAATTCTACAGTATTAACTAGGACTATTTTAATGTGCAATTATACAAATAGATATGCTACTCACTTCGAAGTCACTTTGTCAATTTGAACTCATTCAAGGTTCACCTCTACAGATATTGCAAATTTCGTAAACCATCAGTAACCTTCTGTAACTGTTTTGTTCACAACGCTCTGAAAAAGAAGCTCCTCTAGGTTGTATGCTGAGTCTTAAAGTAAACTTGTAACAGTTCCACATAAAGCTTACTGATTTCGAGGATAGGGATGTTATTCAGTGGGACATAAAAACCCAGAAGTCTCTAAAACCAGATGCCAAACTATGCAAAAAACCTGAGGAAATTCTTTCGGGGTTCTTTTCAGAACACTGCAGCGAACTCTTACTTTAAAAGCACGGATCTAGTGGAAATGCTAATGTTTGTTATAATAGAGAAAATTGGGAAAACATTAGACACTCAAGTGTGTCATACCTTTCCTTCTGCATCTGTTCAATTAAATTGAATAACTAAATTGACCTGTTCTGTTATATAAGAATTTACTTTCTTTTAAATTCAATCTTTTTCTTTAACAAACAGGCAGATCTAAAGCACATAACATATCTTCTGTGCTCCCCTGTTACAATTCTTTTGTTTCTTTTGAAAAATAAATAATATACACATTTCTTAACTGAGTTATTATGCACTATATCACTACCATACAAAAATATGCCGCAACTATTAAAATATTATTGTACCACAGCTTTTGTTTTAATGTATTTTTAATTTATTTTAAAAGTAATAATCTATTGCATAGTAATAGTAATCCAATAGTAATCCATTATTGCAATAGTAGTGCCATTTAAAAAATGCAAACATTTTCACTTTCATCTTTTTCAGGGAAAACTAACAGTAGTCACAATTGTGAGAAACAAATTATGCTTATGTTCTTTATTTTGCTATAATTATGACTATTATATTTAGCACAACAGATACAAGATACAGTAATTAGAAGGTAAGTTTGACTTAAAATGCAACACCAGAGATTCACCAACAAAGGAATGATAAACCACCTCCTCCAGGGCAACTAGCTGAAGATCACTCTAGTATGGTGGAAAACATGACATCCATTTTCACAGATAAAATACAAATTAAAGCAGAAAAAATTATAATTATACAATAATAATGAAGGTGAAAATGTCTGAATATTAGAACAATTTTGGTATTCTGTAGTACTTTGCAAAAAAACAAAATCACAATTATGTGACCTGAATCCAAATTAAAAGAGATAAGTAAGACATGAAGCATGACAAAGCACTGACTTCAATTCATTGCATCATTTGCTTAACCTGGAAGAATAAATATTTATTATTCATTACTTTAAAACCTAACCTTAAATTCCAATGGTGTTTCTGAAATAAGAAATACTTCCTTGCAACTGCAAGTTATTAGATTAAAACATTCTGACACAATTGCCTTATATTTCAGACTGTGACGTCTGACATACAAATACATTTTTGGTTCAAGGATCAACTCAGTTATATAATTCCTTAGGAAGTAAAACCTGAATTTTTTTGTTCTTGGAGGAAGATGAAGGTATTAAGAAAATGCAGTCTTTGCATGACTAGAGAATTAGGGCTTTTCTTGAAGAAAATCATGTTTCCATTCCTGATTTGAAGAAAGTCACTACTGGAATTGAAGTCACAAAATACAGAGAAAAAGGACACACAATGGAAATGCCATTCAAAGAAACAGAGCATATGGTATGTGACTGAAAGAAATTATGTGCAGTTCCATATCACACACTGCCTGCATTCTGAACAGCTGCCATTAAGTGTGAACTCTTTCAGGTGATGCTCTGCATTTTTCCATGTAACCGAGTAGCAAGTAGAAAGCAACGTAAGGTAATTATACCTGTTGCAATCCTTCTGTACCATAGGCTGCCCTCATTTCTTCTAGCTCTCTGTTTAGCTCTTCAATCTCTTGTTGTTTCCCAGCCAATTCATTCTCCATCATCTCTAGCTGCGTGTCAGAGTGCTGCGCTCCATGCTCAGAACCAATCTCTCCAACTCCAAATTCTTCTTCCTAAATCAATCCAAGTTCCTTAACATGCGAATTTTTTATGCTTTATCACACAGTAAGTAAACTCAAATATCAAATTCTGTATCAAACACCACCTTTGTACATTAACATACAATACAGCATCAAAGATCTTATTGCCATGGTAACCTCCTTTGTTAGTATTATTCACACCTCAAAAGCACCGAGATAAAGCATTTTTGTAAGTTCTGCTTTATAATTTTAGCCTTAATAGAATAAATTGCATTTCGAGTTTAATGATACATTATATTAATACATAACAAGCAATGCAGATGCAGAGCACAGCATGCAAAATAAAGTATTAGTCAGCAACATAGTTTTTGTTCAAAACAAACTGTTTGAGGTTTTTAGTATTCACCATTAGTATTACCAGTCAATTAGCAATACTGTACCCTGATTAAGTCTGCGGGTATAGCTGTTCTTGTCACAAAACTGCAACCATTTACCTGTATAAAGACAATTTCTAAATGCATTATTATTTGAAATACAGCTTGATTTTTATTTTCCATTAATTTGAATCTTATCTTATGATTCCTGCAGTCCCATGGGAGTATTTATGCTACAAAAATTTATTTCATTTGAAACACAAAGCAGTTTTATATATAGTAAATTCCACCAAAGTAAGCATAGGTAACAGGTAAACCACCCAAAAATGCAAAATTAGATACTACTGCCTAAAATCAAAAAACGTATTATGAATTTAACCATCTAGAGAAAAGAAAGGAATTCAGATTTAAAGGTCAATGCAAAGCTTTATACTTTAAATGTTTTAAAATTATATGTGTAATATTGCTATATATTACTAAACATAGTTATGCTTTCCAAAAGATATTCATATAAACCAAGATTTACTATTTCTGAAAATCATCAATCTCTCAATAGTGGATGAAAGGCACTATCATAGACTCTCATCCTCAATTTAAAGGAATTTCTTAAGATTCTTAAAACAGCAGAAATTATACATTTAACATAAGATATTTGAAAAAAATCCACTTTCACTCACCTAACACTGCAAGCTCCTTCAGCTTCTATCAGAATTTCTACATACTGTGCAAACCAATAATGACAAATCTCCAAAAGGCAAGCACAAGCCAAAGTAGCAGTTACAGGTTAAAAAAAAAAAATCCAAATGAAAAGAATATGCTGAGCTCTTGTAAGTAACAACAACAGACAGGCAGGCTTTTAAAACAGCAGACCAGTGTTTTAAAAAATGAGAAAGCAAGAACAGCTGTATTTCTCCTCAGAGCTGTTTACTGCATCAGAGCCTGAAACAAAAATAATGGTACTAGAGATAGAAGGGCATCATAGCATTTCAGACCAAACTACTATGTTTACATCCAAAAAAATGAAGCTATACTGCTCAGGCATCTGTCGTAGTCTAGATCAGGGCTTATTTACAAAGGACTACCATGCCTGAAGAAATCAATTAATAGAATTAATATACCTGCCTTGGACATGAATTTGCAGAGTTCACATGGTGCCCTTTCAATTCCTGACTTCCTCAGTTAAAAGGAAGACACCACAGAGTGAGTACTATCTTATTTTAGAAAGAATAAAGAAAATTGCAGTAAACAGCAGTCCAGGCAACTCACAGAGGCACTGCACATTGTTGTGTATTGCCAGATGTTCACGCTACATTCAGTCATACAAATGTCTACATAGTGCCTGGTAACAATGTCTTTATTCAGATTTTGGCGTATGTCCCAGATTAATAACACTGGAAGTTTAACTGAAACTCTATTATGAAACACACTATTTTCCTTTTTTTATCTCCCATTTTATTTAGGTTTAATTGGTAAAGAAGTAGTGTATGATTCTTGTAATCCAGCACAGAGGACACCCTTCTTTTCCTCTGAATCATTTCTGTGTGCAACAATCAAAGATTCTTAGATGCTTCATTACAAAAGCTAGTAGGAAAGACTTAAAAGACTTATCTTATTAAATGTTCCAGACTCTTTAGCAGCTGAAATGTCTACAAAAGACCTTTTATTTATAAAAGAGATTTTGCTATGCATATTCAAAACAACTGCCTGGAACTTCAGAAATCCCACCTCATTTAACAGCATCCTAACTCAGACATCACAGAAGTGAACCCCAACAACATGGCAGTCCATCCTGTTTCTCATCGGATACCTTCCCCTTTCAAGTGCATTGTGAGTTCTGGTAAAGTGGAAGTTGAAACTGACAAGACGACAAACTGCACTGTTATCTATGGAAAAAGCAGACAGAGTGCCGCAGAAGGGTGCTGTGCTGATGGGAGCCTCACGAGCAGACTGGCAATGTCTGGAAGGATACAAATTCTGCTGTGTCAGAGCACACAGGCTGTTGGGTCGGAGTTATTAGCTTCAAAATGTATTTTTCACTCATCTGCAATATAGGAAGACTGAAGTCCAGACACCAACCTTCAATGTTAACAGATGCCTACACATGGCCTATTGAACTTCTGTGTTTTGTCTCATGGCACCAGTGGTTTACCCAGAGATCTTCTGCAAGCCCCTCAATACTACTGACGTAGACTCGTATTACTTCTTCTTTTAAAGCTTTGCATTTAACCTTTAACACTGAAATGTCCTTATGGATTAATGCCTTATGCTTAGTAACATACTTCAGCAAACAATTAAACACTTGAACAATCAAACCCCACAGCATTTTAAGATAATGGAAGCAAGGAATAACAAGAGCTCTGGATGTAACTGCATAAACAAATAACCACAAAGCAAGAAAAAATTAAATTTTACAACACATTAGGTACCTAGGAGCAATCGTTTTGGCAAACAAAAGATATGAAAAAAGTGAAGGTTATGGAAGGATGTTCTGTCTGATTTTTCTTCCTTCCTTGTGTTTTCAAAGTAATTCACAGAAATAGTATTTACTAATAAAAAGCAAAATACAATTTGTATTCTACTGGCTAAAAAACAAAGAGGAAATTTATATTGCATCAGTAGATACATATGCTTAAGACAAATAAAAGGAATCTTCCAGAGAAACACAAGGAAAACCAACCTCCACCACTGAATTAAGGCAGCGATTCATGACAATTGTCACTAGAGGTCAGGATTAAATGTATGAAAACACTGTACCGTTTTCAATGTTCTTTTAGACCTTGGGAGACCTGAAACCGTACCTCAGAAATAGCAGTAATAATACATAAAGCGTAGCTACTTATAACACTAATGCCAATACTATAGGGATTTCCCTTTATAAGTAGCAAATATAATATAGCTCAATACATACTGTTCAATCACTGGAAAATGGAGAAAATACCTCAATGCATGAAAATAATATCACCAATTACAGACTAGCAAGTGGACTTCTACTTTAAAAAGTGCTTTGATTTGGTAGTAGAAACATACAAAAGTATGGATAAAAATTTTACTTCATATTTTCATTTCGTGCCCCGCCTCCCCCGCCTCACCCTCCCCTTCCCACTTTTCTTTTACATTTTGGACATCTGATTCCTTCAGACAAATTAATAAGTAGACCTCCAACACTGCTTGTCAATGTTCTTAGCCTCTCCTCAATCTTTTAGTTATGTCACAACTGACTATATGAAACTTTATATTTATATGAAAATTACCAGTTGATGTAAGTTTGGAAAACGAATCAGTTGGTAGTTTTTTTATACTCTACAAACAAAAACAATTTTCAGCTTGTGATGAAAATAATTACAACCATATAATATAACTAAGGTTAATAACTTTTGAAGGATAACAATTGATTGCTTTTTAAAATATCATGCCTTAATATATTTCTCCACACAACAGAAGATTTTTTTTTTATGTAGTCATTAAGGTTGAGGTATATAATTTCTTTATCATTTCAAAACAAAATTAAAGAAAAGACAAACAAAGATCAACTTTGTTGACTTGATATTAACTACCATTTTTTCAGAGGTACACTTTGCAAATTGGGAAAAAAAGTCAAGAGAAAAAGAAAACAATCTGGTGGCACAGTCTTTCAGTTGTATCATAAAATTGAGGCATATGGAAGAGATTTGTGGGCAGCCTTACCTTACACAGTTAAAAAAAACTCAAAATGTTTGAAAAAGCCTAACTTAATTAGTTCTAGATTTAGACCATAATGTTAAATAGCTAATCAACATTGGAATTTAAGATTATACGGGCAAGTCTCATTCTTGCTCAAACTGAGTGATTTGTTACAAAAGGCAAGCTGGTCACGTGAGGGACTTTGACCACTCTTCAGTTCGGCTACTACCTTTGATAGTGCGGGCATTCAGACAGGTGGCAGAACAAAACTGAACCAGAGACTTTATTTACAACAAAATTGCTTCAAGACAAGAAATCTTACATAAACATTCACCAGTTCCTTCAACTTTGCTTACACAACTTCTAATTACACAAGCTTCTAATTACGTGTCTGATTAAGGCTCCTAAAGAGGGAAATACTTATCACTGAATTTTATCCAGTTCCTCAAGAGAAGGGACAGAAGAATTACACCTAACTCACTTTACTAACTATATTGAAACAATTGATTTATTACTTATTTCACTTTGAAGCATTATGGCCTCAGTTTCAACATAATTTCTGACAAAAAGACCCCACTAAAAAGAATACAAATGTTCTAAAAAATGAGTGAAAAGATGGCTCAACAGGCCTATGCTTCTACAAATGTGTGTTTTCTTAGCATTCTGAAAATGAGGTCAAGTATCTGAAAAAAAAAGTAAGCTCAAGATTTCACACAACTTCATACCTATGCTGTTAGAGACAAAACTTAACTTATTCTCATCTTCTTCAACTGGAAAGGCTTCAGATTGCTTTATTTACAGGGTGGCCATGAATATAAGTAGAGGTTTTAATAATAAAAGTAACATTACAGCTGACATGAAACATATTAAAAATTCAGTTCCTAAAATACATACATTCCTAAATATGTATTACCCAGTACCATGTTAGTATTCACAAGTTTTGCATTGCCTACTTATGTCTTAGAAAATAACTCCTGGGGAGGTAAAAAGTGTTCACGCAGGCATGAGAATAAGAAGTGCCTACAAATGCAGCTGTCATTGCATTTTTGAGGAAATCTGGAATTTTGAAGAAATCTACAATTTTTAAAAGGGACTTTCAGAAGGCAGTCTGGCTGCAATTCTGTTGTTTTTAGGATGTCAAATATTGTTCCCCAATATACTTTGTAGGTACCTACAGAAATCTTTGAAGAAGAAACAGGGTAAAGTTAAGTGTTTAGATGTGAAAATTCACTTTAAAACGAGAGCTTTGAATTCAACTGATACTAACAACAAAACACTGAAATTTAAAACATTCAGAATTATCATGAGACATTATGCCAGATGTTTTCTGTATTCTGTCTCCTTGTGCAAAGATGTGTTTTCTCAAGCTTTTGCAATCAGTCTCCAACACTGCTTCCTACAACCTCAGACGCGATCAAAGTTTTAGTCGTACTTCATTACATACGCAATACCTCTCACTTGTAAAAATACACAAACATCAATGCCATTGTCAAGTGTTTACAAGGGTTCATTCTTCACATACTGCATATTCCATTTAATAGCAACCACATACCATGGTGACACATATTCTAAAAAGGTACAGTGAGGCCACAACAGTTGTTCAAAAGTGTATTTGCTACACTCTCAGTGGCAGACTGTGTGCACATACTGCCCTATCATGTGGCCATACATAAAGCAAACTCAGATTCTTTTTGTTGTTTGCTACTTTAATTTCTTGGACAAAATAAAACATGTTTTATCTATGAAAAATATGAAATCTTTAAACTGATTATTTTCCCTCAGGTAGAGTTTGCTTCAACTCCTTGCACCTACCTCTCCATAAAAATTTATTTTTAATTTCAATTTAATAATAGTCTTTTAATCTTTTATTTACACCACTACCCAGCAGCTGGACTGGAATCTTCTATTCCAAAAGTGCTGGTCTCAGATTTTTTTTTTAAATTTATATCACAAAAGCCATGCCGTAAGAATGATCACAACTGAGCAGACCAAAGATCCGTATGGTTCAGTATTCTGTATTTGAAAGTAGCCAACAGTGAATGTGAAGGAATGTTTTCCTTGTACTCCCAAGTGTCCTCTCCGAATGCATGAGAAGACAGTGAGGATGCTTAGAAACAAGGACAGGACAAGAGACAGGCAAAGAATTCAACTGAAAAGGCTGACACCAAATCTATGGAGGGAGCTGTAACTGGGATTTGATGAGAGGAGGTTGGAAAGAAAAACTAGTGCTTTCATCTGGAACAAGTTGAGCTGAACTTTAGGAGGATCCCAACATAAAAAGAGGAAATAAAGGAGAAAAGACTTGCAAGTGAGAGGGAGAAAAAATATTAAAAGAAGAAGGAAGGAGAAACAATGCTTGGATGAAGTTGAAGAGCCTGTAAGACTGAGCTAAGAAACCAAGCAAGAGGAAGAAAGGGACAGGCAAGGGAAAGTAAAAAGATTGTCAAGAGCTATTTCAGAGAAGGAAAGAATTTACAAAAAGCTAAAGGATAGAAAACAGACACAGAGCAGGACAAGAGAATCAACTGGGAGAAGGAACAAGTGAAGACACAGTATTTAAGCTGGGAAAGGAAAGTTCTTCCAGTTTCCAGGGCATGTCTAGACTGCCCACTGTGGTAATGATTCTACTTCTGCACCATGCAGTGCAACAGGTCAAGGACACATTGTCCGTGTGTATGTTCCCTTAGGCTTCAGAATAAGCAGCTCTAATACTGGTATGGAACAAACAGTTATTCCAAGGCATAGTCACCTTTCTCTTACAAAAGGCTAAATCAAGAGAGGAACAAAGCATTCTACACCAATACTTCAGCAGTGGGGACTCATTTGATTACTTCATCCCCTCTTTCTTGTTGCCAAGCTTAAGATTCTGGGGTGAGTTTTGCAGAAGCGTTTAGCACAGAGATCTGCAAAACAAAACCCAAATTCCCACTACAATAAGTGGTTGTTTGAGGCATGAAAAATTAATTTTTTAAATCAGAAACTATTTACTGTGCTCAGATATTCTGTGGCTATTTCTTGCAAGTATGTTCTTGACCCACATTTATGCATGAGGTAGTTTAATCTTAACAAAAATAATAAACTCTTTCATTTGGCAAGACCAAAGTTCCATACATGCTACTACTCTGATATGACAGAGAATAGTAGTAGACACCAATGTGTGGTGGGTTGACTCTGGCCAGCAGCTAGGCCTCCCCCCAGACACTCACTTCCCCACCAGTGGGATGGAGGAGAGAACTCAAAGGGTAAAAGCAAGAAAAACCCATGGGCTGAGATAAAGACAGCTTAATAAGTGAAAGAAAACAAAACAAAACTCCCAAACAAGTGATGCAAAGGGAATCCCTCACCACCTCCCACCAGCTGACTGACACCCAGCCAGTCGCTGAGCAAGGCTGCTTAGGAACTTGTTAAAATGTATCCAACTTCTTAAATAGTTTCACACAGAAAATTAGTAGAAATTATGCACAGCCACAACTCCAGTGGCAACATGAAGCACTACTGCAAGCATAATGCTGACACTGTTGCAACAGTTCATTTATCTACTGCATTATTGAACATAGCAGCCATCCCATTATGTAGTTGACATAATGCTTGCTTTAATGGTACATTAACCATACCAGTGATGACGTGACAGCATTGTCAATAATATCAGGTTTGCTCATTCTTTCCTTCTCTTTTTGAAAAGTAATGCACAGCATTGCACTAAATGTGTAAAAGAAAAAGTTGAAAGAAATGTTAGGAAAAGTGTTACCTCATTCTTACCTCAGAACTGTAATCTTCTACTGTGGTAGAAATTTCACTTTCCGGCTAAAATAAAATATTAAAATATTTACAATGATGGCACTCTAAAAATTTTAAACAAGACATTTTTCCATCTGTTTCTGAGAATGTAGACTGTATTCAAAAATATTAAGGTATATATGAATTTGACTAGAATATAAATATAAATATATATATA